ATGCGCCTAGTCTCTAAGCTCGCCTCTCGGTCGCTCCACTATCGTCGTCGTCGTCGTCCGTCGTCGTCGTCGTCGTCGTCGTCGTTGTCATCGTCAGGGAGAGAAGCGGCGGCCTCTCTCGTGATGGTGGGGGATCGGCTGTACGCGCGACGACCACGAGAGTGAGCGAGACAGCGCGCCATCGCGTAGCACGCTCGGCTTAGCCGGCGGCTTGGTGAGAGAGAAGCTCTGGTGGGGATAGTGAGCCACACGCTCCAGCCGTACCGAGGGCCCCTACGACGGCGCAAAACATTCAGTCGGCAAAAAGTAGCCAAGGGGTGAGCATCACCCCGAGGTAGCCCACGGAGAGCGCACGCACAGCTGGACGGAGAGAGAGAGAGAGAGAGAATCAAGTGTGTAAGTGGCAGCAGTAGCGCCACAGCTGTAGCCGCAGTCGCCGTCGCCGCCGGTACGCTCCGGATTTTTCTCGCCAGCCACGACAGCGACGCATTTGTTTTACAACGACGAAACTGCGACAAACAAATCGGAAAATGTTCCATCGCGACGGACGGAGATTTAAAAAAATTGTTTAAACCAAAGCCGGTGCGCGAGCAATTGTCGGCCGCGCGCGGATCATCGCGCGAGAGAGTGTGTGAAACACCGCGCGTTCGTTCGCGAGTGCGCGCGTTTCCCGTGCACGCCGTGCACCTCGTCCTTCTCCTCTTTCTCGTCCTTTCTTTCTCTCGAATCGCGCATCTCTCCTCGCCTTCGTTCGTTCGCGACGTCGCGCGTGGTGCCCACCCCCGTGTGGCGCGAGGTGTGCGCGCGCGAGATCGAGGGAGATGAACGGGACCGCCGTGGCGGATCGGACGTGAGATCGATGAGTCGTTTTCGCGGCGCCGGTGCCGCGCCGGGAGGAGACCGTCGCGAGACGTGATCGCGACGTCGATAGTCGCACGCGCCTCGCGTTCTCCGCCGTCCTGCCGAAAGATCGGTATTATGAGCCGCGAGATCGCGCCGTGGCGCGACATCGTGCAAGGTCGTCGCATCAACAGCGGCACCAGCAGCTGAGACTTTCAAAGTGCGGGACACGTCAAGGTCAGCCCCGCGCGTTCCTCCGCGCGTGTCCTGCGCCGCCGGACGATCACGGCGACGACAACGACGACGACGACGAGGACGACGAGGACGACGAGGAGGTGGAGGAGGTGGAGGATCGCGACCACGACGACGACGACGACGAGGAGGAGGAGGAGGCGGCCGAAGACGCGGGATTGGAGACCCGTGGTCGTAGCGGTCTCGCGGGAGAATCGCGACCGAGAGACCGGGTGCTGCTGCGTTCGGCATGGAGGTGCGCGCGATGGAGTACCGTCCCGTGGTGCCCGCGGGAGTGATGCCCACCGGACTCCACCAGGACTATCACGCCGCAATTCCGGACCTGAGCCCACCGAGAAGCCAGGGCTCCTCCACCGGCGGCGCTTCCTCGATCGGCGACTACGCGCCGCGAATGTACACGCCGCCTACGCCACCCACGCCGCACGAGGACGAGAAGGTAAAGGACGCGCGAATATCGAACGAATATCCCCCGGATATATCCCGGACGACGTCCGCGAAATTCAATTCGATTCGATTTCATTCGCGCCACCGCCGCACGCGTGGATGTCTGAGAGATGGATGTTGACGGAAACTGACGGAAGTGGCGCAAAAGTTGACCTCTCCGAGAGAGGAAAATAGGAATGACATTTTTGTTCAGGACGAGGGGGATTCGATATAATAATAATCTCATCCGGTTCTTTTTTTTTAACTCGAGAAGATTGATGCAAATGTAATTTCCTCAACTTCAAGATTAATTCTCTCGTGTTCTTAAAAGAGTGGGTTAAATCGCCGCTGCGCGCGTCGAGGTCCTCAATTTATCTACGCCACTTGTCCCTTTATTTAGCATTGAAAACTGAAGCTTTCGCGCGCGGAATTACGAGCGGGATTACTTTATACCGCGAGCGGTTTCTATGATTAAGATTACACCAAGAGAGGTAAAGCGAAAGGAAATATCTTTGGGACGAAAAGTAAAGTAAAGTACGCGATGCTCGTATATATGTCGTTGAATTTGAATTTATTTACTTGTCCCGTTTCCTCGGAATTCAAATCACGGCAGTCACACGAGTAATAGATATTCTCCGTGGCACGATACTCGAATCTAAACAAAAATAATGTAGAGATATTAACGCGGCGAGTTTCGTAGGTTCATGCTGACAGTTAATTATTCGCAAATATCACACGAAAGTCATTTCTCCAATCAACATTCTTGTAATTTCATTATTAAACACTAATAATATGTTTCGGGCTATAAACACGCATTTAATGATAATGATATATTGGCACTAAACTTATGAAATGGATAAAAAGTTTGACGTAAACGTGAGGAGAGTTTGCGTAACTTTTTTGAGCTACTTTCAACGATGAAACGACATCATGAAAAATTGTCTTTTGCATTTAAGATTTTCTTAGATAACTTCGTAATATTTTTACAATTTTCTAATCTCTTGGTGACGATGGTGAACATATAATTTATGCTAGATGTGTCGAAGGGTTTCAATTTGAGAAGGGACATCAAATTATAAGGGACATAAAATCATGCAGTATGCAAAATTATCGATTGTCAAGTTATGCATAAAATTATGAATGTAATAATTTAGAGACGACGATGTCCGATTCGTATCGCTGCTGTATTTAGCGCGTATTTGATGACTATGAAAAATGGGATGCGTTCGTCAATTTCTCGCACGATAATCAGCACGAAACGGGCTAGTAAAGTTGGCAATGAAATCAACGTCAATTGTGAGCTCTCGACGTTATTGGATCTAACATTATTTCGGAAACTCGGAAATTTATCGGATCGCGATTTGATCTGTCAAAGATCAAAGTTCACGAGTACTTCGAACAAAGATTCATTTTACTAAAACAAATTTAAAAAAATCATTAAACTTATATAAAATTAGACTAACGAAATGTACTGTATAGTTGATAAACAATTGCGTTAAGAATATTTATCTAATCGTGGTGTCGTTTATCAATTCCATTTAGTAAGTTTAAATAATATTTGCAACCCGCAATCTTTTGTTTGGTTCTTCTTCTCAATATATGAAAAACTACGAGCTATACGATATTCAAAACGATATTTAGACACAAAATGATATCCAGAGCTAATCATTGTTGTGGATAAAGTGGCATTTGTAAAAGAATTAAACTCGGCTTGAAACTCTGATTCGGAAGATTTAACTTAACGTGATTATCCCTCTTATTTCTTTTCTTCTTGAAATAAACCACAGTACAAAAGAAACGTAAAGTAAAGATGCTAAGCAAAAATTTTACGAATGAATATTATCCTTTAGAGATTGCCTAGTGAATAAAAATTTTGAAGTAGAAATAAATACGAGGAGAAAACTCATTAAATTGACAGTTTTCTTCGCGAGCGTTTGCTTTTCATTTCTCAACATTTGTGCCAGAAATGTGATTAAAGAATAATTGTTACAAATGCAAATGTTACAATACAGATAAAGATATACCAAAATATTATTAAACGTAAGTGTAACGATTAATCTGCTGTTACATATAATTTGACTAAATAAAATAATTCGTATATAAATATTCATATAAATATGACGTAAGCCAAAAAAATTTTAGATTGCCAAGTTTTGACGACTAAGAAGATAGATACATATTTAAAATATTTACAAAAACGTTTATAAACAACTTTTGAATCGTTGATATTCGTAGATAGTTCTTTTTTTTATCCGAGCTTCTCTCAGAGATTATTCTCCATCCGTCGCTTCATCCATCGATGAAGCAATATCGAAACTGTCATCCTCCGTACCGTCCAGCTTAACCGCGCGCATTATTATAACAGCGGGCAATTATTATTTATGCTCAATAAAAAGAAATTGTCACGATAAGAGGTCGCCTTGAAGCGGACGATATTCGCGAGGACTTGGTCCTCGAGAGGTCCCATAAAAGGTCAATCCACTCTTAACTGCTTTCCTGCTTAGTAAGTTTCGTAGCATCCTCTCGCGCGAGCGTTGTTGTCTCTCGTGAGAGGATTACGGGGATCGAATTAGACATCCTTGCTCCTGAAACGCGCGCGAAGGAGCCTCAGTGTCGCAGGTCTGTGAGATCAGATTATCATGCTGAAGTCATGAATAAATGTAAATCGGTGTAATACGATCCGAGTGAGTTCCTCGAAATTTTCTTGCGGGCTCGCGAGATACGCAAGAGATTCACTGGGACTAGATCAAGGAAGGGAATACGTTTGTGATAGATCTCGCGAGTTTCCTATTCGTCTATTATCATTAACTGCCGCGGGGATAGAGCGAAAAAAAGAGAGGAAGAAAGATCTGTCGCGCGCGTGCAGATTATTCAAAATTACAGAGGAACGGCGGATGGAAATTGATGTGAAATGAAATCTAAACAAACGGCTTTTATTCGATTTATTATCTTTCTTCGAAATCAAATTTGCAGAGAAACCCCTAGATTTTCTCTTTTAATGCACACAACCCCATGCACTCGCAACGGTTTCGCTGAGAATAAATCTATCTTGAGTTGAGAATCCGAGAGTCGGCTGATGAAAGAGGGTGTCGGGATGCCTTCTTTTTAACATAAAAAGAAATAAACGAAATAAAGCGCGATCGTAAGTCGTAGGAAAAGCAGCATCGATCGTCGTTCCTGATCGGTCTTCTCGCTGCGCTTCGCAAGAAAACGCGACATGTCCCAGATATCCGTACGAAGCGACGGGAGGAGGATTCTGTGTGA